GGCTGGTCTTCGAGGTGCTGCCCCTTTGGGTTAGATCACCTGGAGACGGCGGGTTGCCTTATGGGAAACCCTCCGTACTCTGTTATAAATATGTAAGAATACTAAATTTTGTAGTTGTTTAAGTAATTTGTACGATTTTAAGGTAAATTGTTTAAGGAATTCATAGTCCTCGCTGCTAAAATGGGGGTGTCGTCTTTAATGTGGCCATGAGCATATTTTCAAAGGGTGAAGATGGCTTTATCAGTGAAAGTCTGTTTTTCTAGAGAAACAGATTTACTCATTGCTGAAGCCAGTGCCTTGTGCCTGAGCCTTTCCTTAGAAAGGGCATTTTCCACTCCTTCAGTTTATCCCGTGGTTTATCCCTCAACTATTTACATTTTATCAGCATCCTTCCTCAATTTTGACTACACACAGTCTAAAGTGGATTTGTAGAGGGTGCATTAATATATATGCACCTTTTTGGCTGGTTATGGCTGTAAGATAGGTATGTCCAAGGACTGCCTTAGCCCTTTCCACTGTAACATCGTTCTAAAGCTCAAGACCAGCTCATTATCAGCCATGACTGTCTCCTGTCACGCTGATGTGGTGCTCATCATGAATTTAAACATTAATTTCTTTGTAACAGGTGTACTGTGCTCCAAAAGAGATGAGGCTCTTTGACCTATAGTGTGCAAGATGATAAATAATGATCTCTTGTCCTGTTTTGAGGCAGGAGGAGGAGAGAAGATGCTGCCTAGTAACTTTAAGTGATGATGTGCATGCTGGAGGAACAATAGTACCAAGTGAAATTATTCTGTATTTTTTCTTGAGAACTTAGCAAGTTTATATGCTGGAAGCCATGTCACCAATTAATGTGATTTATGAAGTATTAAATATTCTTCAGTGCGATATAAAGATGTATCCTTTTGGCTGTACCATCCATCTTCATAACCACAGATAACCTAATATCTCTTAAAGCACGCTACATTGAAAATCCAAGTTATAGTCAATATTGAAATGAAATCCAGTAAATTTGGAACACACTGGCAAAAGAAATACAAGCGTTTACTGGTTTTGTTAGCTTGTGCATGGAGGAAAATGGGAAGAAGGGGGCAAAAGCAGATCTCTACTTAGGCAAAGGTGCTTAGCTCCCTCATAGACAGGATCTGGAATTTGTCTTAAGGATAAAAGGGAGCTGGTCTTTTTTTTTCCAGCTCTGCTACTTTTTTGTTTTTCCTCAAGAATAGCACTTTCTTGCATGGCTTGTGCGCTTGCAAGAGACAAAGACATGGGCGTCCAGTTAGGCAAAGGCAGAAGACGATGCTCAATAATGTGTTCATATAGTATTGTCCTCATGATACCCACTCTGTGTTAGTAGCCAGTTTGCTTTTGCTTGGGTTTTCAATTGATGATTTTGTTTGGTTTTTTTCCCTTGTGTGTAACAGCTTTCTCTTTTGGTTATAGTGGGTAGGAGCTAAGCAGCATGAGTTGCAGGTAAACTCTATGCAGTTGCTCTACTATCAGGCACCAATGTCTTCAGCTATGTTGTTGTTCATCATACCCTTCTTTGAGCCAGTCTTTGGAGAAGGGGGAATATTTGGGCCCTGGACGCTTTCTGCTGTGGTAAGGCTTTTATTGACTTTATTTAAATATAAATAATCATTGCTGATGTAGTTAAATTTGGCAGTCAGATCTGTTTCTTTGTGAAACAGATTTTTGTACAGTCATCGACTATGATGAGATGAGAGGGGCATGTGAAAGAATACAAACACCCTTGTGTCCACCCCACTTCCTCCCAGAGGAGTCTGTCTGACGATCAACTTACCTCCTTATTCTTGTTTCTGTTTAGAGGGCATCTGAGCAACAGGAAAATCTGACAAAATCCAGAAGCTTCCCCTAGTGTATTAAATTAAAGCTATGTAAGTGCCCTAGTTCCAGCTGTTACTGTCCACTCAGAAAAGAAATAAGCATGCTCACTTTGACACTTTCAACTCCTCTTCTGTGGAAGGATGCCAGCATTGGTTGTTCTCTAGAATTGCTTGTTTATTTTCACCAAGGCAGCAATGATTTCTCTCTATCCTTCTGTCCAGAAAAGAGCCAGTGGCACATTCATACCGCTGCTGACTGTGCTGCTCGGTGATGGGTCCTTTCTTGTAGCACTGCGGTTTATGAATGGGATAGCAAGTATTCACAGGGATAAAACTGGATGTTTTTAAGAGTAGTTTTTAGTGTGACCATAAGTAAGACCTTGTCTGAAAGGTAAAGCCTATGACGTCTGTGTGTATGAGTAGCCAGACTTTCCAAATCATTGTTCAAGTGATTTTTAAATTGCTGAGAGTGAAGGAGAAAAGGCTTGTGGTTCTATCAGTATGTATTTATGGACATCATACCCTGAGCTACTTATACACATCACCAGTGTCTGTACTGATCTGAAGCTGTTCCTATTTTTGTTCTCCGTGTGTTTTTCTTGCCTGATATTTTGCATTTGAAAGTAAAGGCAACTAAATAAATAACCTGGAATGTATCTACAACTGGCCAAAAGTGTGCCAGATTACTGACCGTGTCCGTTAATCCACAGATAATGGTACTGCTGTCTGGAGTAATAGCCTTTATGGTAAACTTGTCCATTTACTGGATCATTGGAAATACATCACCTGTCACGTATCCTTTGTGCCATTAGTTGTTTCTCCTGTTCCCAGATGAATTATGTTAGCATTCATTTGGACTGATTTACTGTGGGAAAACTGTTTGATCACCTGCTTGCTTTATCTTAAACGGGGAAGCTGGAAAAGCGTGTTCATGTTTCACTGTATTTCATTTCTCTGTATAGATAATGCTAGTTAACTTACTGATGAGACCTTCGCACCTACAAAGAGTATTTGCCCACACTTTGACGCCCTTGAGGAAGTGCTGGCGTGTCAGTTTGTCTTGTACAACGGGCGGAAGGCCTTAGGTGGGGGTTAATTCTCAGAGCTGCAGAGAAACAGGAAAGTTGCAGGAGTTGAAGTCAAGGTGATATACCATTGCATGCTTTGTGTGTAATTAATGATGTTCCCAAGTGTTTCTTCTTATAAAAAACACTACTGCTGTTTGCTGTTATCCTTGACAGATGTCTAGGTACAACATGTTTGGACATTTTAAGTTCTGCATCACCCTGCTGGGAGGGTGCCTCTTATTTAAGGATCCACTGTCTGTTAATCAAGGCCTTGGGATTCTGTGCACGTTGTTGGGCATTTTAGCTTACACCCACTTCAAGCTCAGCGAGCAGGAAAGCAGTAAGAGTAAATTGGCTCAGCGTCCATAAACCAAGGTCTTCTGGAGCTTAATAATGTTGTGAAGGAGGACAAGTATTTAAATAGACATTGGTTCCAGAATGCAGAAAAGATGCCTTGTTCGTGTGGATCTGTGGGTTTAGTTTAACCACGAGGATTGTTATTCTGTAACAAACCCAAATGAAATGAATTCTGTAAAATGCTGGGGTTTGCCACCTCGGCCCATACTGTCATTTTCATTCAATTAAAATGGTAAAGGAGAAAAAGGCACACTTCAAATTGCTGTGGAAATTGTACTGAGCTAATTGTATTTTTTGCATACCGAATGAGATCATGATGGCTACAGTTACAATACAGAGGGAGGAAAAAAAAGAAAAGAAATCCTGTCTTTGTGATCATGCCAGTATTACTGTTGTGAAGAAACTTGGAGGTGCTTTTATGCAGATGTTCTGGTACGTAGTGATGCTTCCTCCTTTTTGTCTGGTGAGTGATGAAGAGGAAACAGACTTTGTTCAGTAGGTCTAAAAAGGACTGCCAAGCTCATTCCTGTTCCTTGTATGCTTTCTTATCTGTGCCTGGCTCCAACACATTGATAGATTTTGGCTGAGGAAACTAGAGAAAATCACAGGTGGAGAGAGACCAGAGGAGACATTGGAAAACTTGAAGCCACAGGCCAACCTATAGAAAAGTAGGAAACTGGATCTAAACAGTTCATCTTAGATTTTTCTTTTGGTCTATCAGGACACTAATGAAGTCATCCATGTTCTAGATAATTCTGTTACTGCTTTTTAGTTTTCTCTGTGCCAAACCCAAGGTTTTACATGAGCTTTTGTAAATGCTCGTGAGCCTAATAAACTCCCTGATTTTGTGGGAATAATCAAGCATGTTGCAGCCCTTGCACACAGACACCCATGCTAAACGTGGTTTTGGAGAACTCTTCAGAACGGCCGTACCAACTGCAGTGGCCGTGAGGGCTGCCTCGTTCTGTTCTGTCTGTGCCTTCCCCGGGAGTTGCTCGGGTGAGCTCTGCAGCTTGGCCCATTGTCCTCATTCCAGGGGCATCAGAACTGTATTGGAGCGAGTGAAGAGTGAGAGGTGGGATCTGCTCCTGCTCTAATTCAGGAATGCTCTGAAAACGATTTTATGACAGTATCAAGCACTGATTTTGACAAGGGGGAAGGAGGAAGTTGAGTGCTGTTCTATTTTAAAAAAGACAAAAAATAACAGCTTTCAGTAAATCTGGTGAGAACATACGTTCACTAGATTTGCAGGGTTAGAATTTATTTGCAGCATCTTACATTTTAAGGTTCATTTTATCTTCATCTACCTCTGGCAGATTTAAAGAGGGGAATTATGTGAACAAAACTAGGTATTTTAAGTTTTTCAACCACCGACAGAAATGATACTTAGCTCCTCTAAGCTTTTTACAGTACAGGTAACCAGTCTTTGTGTAGGAAGGAATACAGATCTTCTCAAGCCTGTAAATTATTTATTCTGTTACAGAGTTCTTGATTTAAGAAAAAGTTCTTTCTCCGTGTAACCTAAGTTTATACTGTAATGCTTTGTCATTTCAGGGTTAGAAATACCTGAATAATTTTACATCTTTACCAACTGTGTCTTGGTCATTTTACTGGTCCAAGGTTAATTTTTTGTATATGTTTTTATAAACCTGTATCATTAAAAGTACAGCTGGACTACTGAAAGATGTGTTCATAAAGCCAATCTCCAGATGCATATCCTTCAGTACATACACTGAGAAGTTCATCTGCATTAATTTGTGCTGTGCACAAGTTCTCCTAAAATGTAGATAGACCACAAAGACTTACAGTTAGCAAACAACTGAATTGGAAGCCTGTGTGACAACAGTACTTGGGATGAGAGTGATGTAAATGTGTAGAAAGTGCTAGAATGAACAAAACAATCGTGTCTGAAATTGTAAAAGAATCCTTTAGGAGAGGAGTGGATCCGCCAGAGAAAGTTAGCAGTGTCATTATACGTTGTAAATGCAGTCTGTTGCTGGAGTGTGTAAGTTGTGGATGTCACTTAAGTGACGTGATTTTTTTTGTAAGTTCAAGGAGTTTCCTTTGAGATACACCTGTTGTTATCTAACAAATAAAGACTCTTGAACTTTGTAATATGGTTCAAAATATGAAATCCAGGAGGCATGTGTAATTGTGGGATGAATAGATCTTTGTATGTATTGTTTCTTTGGATACTATGTGTAGGGTGGGAATAAATTTTTCAATCACTTGACTGATCTGTGCTTATTGCAGGGGAGGATAGTTGTTCTTGTCATTTTTCACCTTGTGCTTGCCTTGGGGGCTCTATGTTTATATAAGACAAAACGGTGCCACTTGGGTTTCTGTATCTATAAGTATTTCAACGAGTTTGCATGTTTTGGGGCTGAACTTCTGCACTAATGGGGGAATTTTTAAATCCTGAGGTACAATTGGAGTCACATAAAAATTACTGATAACCTACCTGCTTGGAAACTTGCTCATTCTAGTTTGTACTACATCACTTTAATAGGTTTAACTGCTAATTATGTGCACTTCACCCAGTTTTGGTTTTCCTGGAAGAGAAATCAGAGACTTGGCGGCTTTAACAATATGTAGTCATCACCCTGTATGTGCCATACTGTCCAAACCCTAGTGTTTACTTTCTGCTTTTCTTCTACTTCATAGTCCACATATGACTAAGCAGTGGTAACAAGATGGACCTTGGTCCTTTTCTGCCATTGAGTGCTTTGCTGCTTTTATTAGCATGCTCTACTTCAGAAGCTGCCATTGATCTCATTCCAGTGGAAAAACTGGCATAGGTACCAGCGAGGCATTTAAAAAGGAGAGCAGATGATTCTGATTAAAATATGAGTGACGGGTGGTAAGTTACCTTTGCTAGCCTTGTCCCTGAAAGCACTTGAGAACAGCACACACAAGGTTTTCTCACTGTCCGCAAAGGAATAGGAAGTATGCCTTCACTTACGAGATACTCAGTTCAAAGCTCTCTGTTACCTTTGACTTCGGTAACTCAGCAGATTTTGCATCTGGTTTTGTAGGACTTGCTAAGTTCTTGCAGGCTTTGGGGGCACAGTGCCAGAGCAGTTTTCCTGTTGATGGGTGGGCCGCTTCTCTCTCACCCTTGAGGCTGAAGAAGAGTGGTTTTCTGCTGTTACATGTATGAAAAGCAGGTTTGTCTTGCAGCAGTCTACCTTCGAGACAGAGCTGCGATTCAACAGGAATGTATCCTCTCTCTCTGCCTCATTTCATGAAATGAATACCCAGTGGTGACCTGGGGCTAAAAGCAACATTAAAGCCTGTTTGGGATACCCATTGTTTTTATTAAACCTTTTGAAAAATATTAGTGGTAGCAAATGCTGGTTAAGTATTAAGGTAAAAAAAACTCAAAATGTCCCATGTAACAAGAGCTTCAGAAGAATGTTTTATAATGTTTTGGAGCACAGCTAATGTCTAACCTGTGTCTAGTTTCTCACATTTGCAAAATATATCAAAAAGTAATGATGGATTTCATAACTGGCTGTAGATACTGGTGCAGTTTTGCTGCAGAGAAGGGGTTTGCTCTTGAGCAATACTGTGCTACCAAACACTGGCATACTGTTAATGTATTAGCAGTGATTTAGAAACATCTCGTCTGAAAGTCACCTATGTGCTTAGGAAAGGAAAAAGAATGCTCCCCCTGATCGGCAAGAGAGCTTTTTATCTTCTTGCTTTTAACAACAAACAGGAGGCTGGCAGTTGAAGGGAATTCAGAGAGCAGGCCTTAGTGTCCCTCAAATGGCCTTTCATAAAAAGGTTCTTCTCCCAGGATGGCTGTTTTGCTCCCAATTGTCAAGTTGGTGTCTTCTCTGGATTTTAAAAGCAGCAGTTTGGACTGCGGACTTGCAGGTGTTTGCTTGTGTTATGGGCTGTTTCCTCTTAAAATGTTATGTTGGCAATTCACAACCCAACTTCCCTGTTTAATTAGAGAAAACGAAAAAGAAAGGAATGTTGAAGAAATGAAAGGCAGAGTAGTAAAAACATGCTTTGTTTTGCACAGTTTCATTCATCTAACTGTAAAGGTGCAGCTCTCTTTCTCTGCTGTTCTGATCATGTCGATGCACAAAAGCACGAGCTTTTTCCTCCATACAAATTCACCCTCTTCCTGCTGGTGCTCTCTCAGATCACAGTTTCAGCCTTTGATTTGACAGCTCAGTTGCTGCAAAGATGATTGGGATGTCAGCTGCAGAAGGTTATGAACATGAAGTGAAAAACTTATCAGCATGAGCTGATATAATCTTGGCTAATAAGAAATCCTGTTCTAAGACACAGAGACATCTTACCAGAGACCTGTGCTTAAGCAGCAGGGAGAGGTGTGGGTTTATCTCCAGGCAAGGATTGCAAAGAATGCAAGAGTTGAATTGTATGGACTCTTGCTATGTTGCAGTAGTTGACAAATTTAGTTCAGTTTTTAAAAATAAAATATAAATGCCATACAAAAAAGAATATCAATAGCTGGATTCAGAGAGCATAAAATCTTTGCCAGACTCGTCCCACAGCAATGGTTAACCTTCCTAAAAGAAGGGAGCTGCTGTTCCACCCCTCCTTTGCCCAGTGATGCTGAGCTTAGTGAAGGGGGGTTGTGTTCCCACAGGCTGGTCTGCTTTTTTTCAACTCTATCAGTTGGTCCAATGAAAACATATCACCCCTCCCTGCAGAGCTTGACTCGCTGAACTTACTGTTTATGCTTTCATCCAACTGACTTGGATCATGCTCTGTCTTCTTCCAGTAGCTGAAAGGTGTGATGGACCTCAGGGAGCAGCACATACTCCATCACCTCCTGTAACTGTGGTGTGCAGTCAGCCCTGCTGCACAGGATCCAACCCAGCCCGAAGGACTGTAGTTAAGAACTAAAGAAGGGGAAAGTGTGATCCCTTGTCATTGTTTTAGTTGTAAGTGACTTAACTAATCCTTTCAAATTTTAGTCTGGCATTTCCCTTTAGCAGGGGCATAAGAAAGCTCTCTTTCCTATTTCAGTCAGCCCTTTCTGTATAAAATGTAATTATGCTATATTTTAGGGAATTCTGGAATTGAGACAGAAACCACAAATACATTGATGTCATGCAGTGT